TGAGGGGTCAGAACCTTTTGAGGACTATTGATCCATTGGACTGCCTAGAATCAACTCAACCTCATTGTTCAAAGATGAAATATGAAACTTGTTTTTAAGATAACTATAACATTTACTGAGTACCTACTATGTATTAGGCACATTCCTGTACTATCATTAACCCTCACAATAACCCTGTGAGAGAAGGGCACGGGTTCACAGAGAAATATATACACATTTTCCCTGGCTGGCGTAGCTCAGTTGGTTGGACTGTCATCCCCTAACTGAAGGGTTGCAGGTTCAATTCCTGGTCAGGGCACATACCTAGGCTGAGGGTCCAATTCCTAGTTCAGATGTGTACAAGGGATGTTTCTCTCACATTGATGTTTTTCTCTCTCCCTTTTCTTTAAAAAGCAATGATAGGAAAAAAATGTCCTCAGCTAAGGATAAAAATAAAAAAGAAAGAAATATATACACATTTAGCCCTGACTCGTGTGGCTCAGTGGATTGAGCCGCCAGCCAGCTTGTGAACCAAAGGGTTGCTGGTTTGATTCCCAGTCAGAGCACATGCCTGGGTTGTGGATTGGGGCCCCAGCAGGGGGTGCTAGAGAGGTAACCACACATTGATGTTTCTCTCCCTCTCTTCCTCCCTTCCCCCCTCTCTAAAAATGAGTAAACAAAATCTTTAAAAAATCTTTTTAAAAAATATCAGAAGCACACACATTTACAGGAGAAAAGGTGGGCTTTCGTGAAATGATATAGCCATTCCTTAGCTCTTAGACTCCTTCTAAATAGTGTTGCCTTTTCTCTACCACAGGCAGAAAGGGAAATACACTGCCTTGGTTCTTGCATGAACTGAGCGCCCTATGGGTCCTGCAAGTCCAAAGACCCTACCCTGTAGGTTAAAAGGCCAGAGAGACTGCAGGGGCTAGGCTGAAGCTAGATAGGTCACTGAAGGCCTTCTCTTTGTCCCTTAATCAAGGAGCAGCACCCAGTAGCTCAGGAAGATGTTACGCCAGAGTATGGTCTAATAGGAAACCTGAGCTGTCACCCTGGCTCCTGGAACTGCAGGGAGACGCTTCCAAGCCCATGGCCACCCTGGGTCTGTTGTCGTCTGCTTTCCCGCTGCATGTGTGCTGGAGAGGGAAGGTGTGGTTCTAGAATGGCCAGGTGGGGTGACGGAAGGAGCAAGACTGGGAATCAGGAGAGTGGAGCACATCTTGGCCACTGTCTTTATGACAGAGCAAAGCTCTTCCCTTCTCTGTGTTCCACCTTCCTCAGCTGTAAAATGGGAGAGGGGACTGGACTAAATACGCTCCACGCTGACACAGGGGCCCCTGCAGAAAACCAGGCAAAGCGATTTGCTCCAAGGCCATGAAGACGATGGCTGAGGGACACCTGGCTTCACCCACTACCTCCCTCCAAACTCCTACTCATCCAACCCAAACAGAAGCCAGGGGGCGAGGGAGCCCAGGGATGCTGTCCACACTGATCAGAGAGTGTGGGTGGGCTGGGTGATGGTCAAGGAGGCCCATGGGAGCCCTGGCCAGGTAGCTCAGTTGGTTAGAGCGTGGTCCCAACACACCTATGTTGCAGGTTCAATCTCCAATCAAGGCACATACAAGAACCGATCAATGAATGAATAAGTGGAACAACAGATCGATGTTTCTCTCTCTCTAAAAATCAATTAAAAATTTTTTTTAAATAATAAAAAAGGCAGCCCAGGGGAGACGCCTCAGCAGCTCATGCCCCTCTCCTGTCAGGCCTGGAACAGTCCCAGGGCAGCGATCTGCCCGTCCTCCTTTCCCTGACAAGGCTGGGCCCTCGGCTCCTGCAGCCCCTCCTCTGCTGCTGAGGGAGCAGCTGGGGCGGTCGGGCAGGGTGCGGAGCAGGGCCTGCTGCCCGGGAGGCGGCCCGCTGGGCGGAGGCCTTGTGTGGGTGGACAGAGGCAGGTGGGCTGCAGCTGCAGTGGCTCCCTCCTCCTACTTTGCAGGAAAGCCTTTCTTCCATTTTTACTTTTCCCATCCAGGGTCCTCTTCTGGCACTTTCCTTAATCCTCTTCTGAGGGATACTTACCGAGGGCTCCATATCAAAAAGGCTTTAAGGCCTCAGACAGTGGGGCTCCGCAGGGCACACGCATGACAGGCAGGGCAGGGTGGAACGGCAGAGAGGCAAGTGTCTGTTTCTTCCTGAGGCCTCCAGGTCCCCATGAAGCCCGAGCCTTCACCTTGCACTGATTCCCAGGAAAGCTTAACATTGGGCCACACAGCCTGGAAGTTCCAAAGGAGGCCTGGAAATGTGCTTCCCTGGGAAGGCTCCAAGGTAAGTCATGCCCCGACAAAGACTGGCAGCACCCAAGAATGGGTGAGCTGGGGTGCCGTGCGTCCCAGTAGGTAGAGCTGGCTTCAGGCCAGGCCTGGTCCCTGATGCCTCCTCAACAAGCATCCACTTAGCACCAGCCTTATGTGCATGTGAAGTAGGTGGGAGGTGTGTGCGCTTGCAAAGAGGCCTCCTCAGCCAAGAGGGGAGTTTCAGTGCTGTGGGAAGGGACCCCTGAGCAAAAGAGCCCCGGGTCTTCCCGGGTGCCCAAAGTCCCTTCCGAGAGGAAACAGCCTTCCACCTACAGATCAGGAGGAAGCACGTCTGGAAAGTATTGGGTTGGCCAAAAAGTCTGTTTCATTTTTTTCTGTAAAATAAAACACATTTTTCATTTTCACCAGTAACTTTATTGATTTGGATGTTTTGAGTATGTTGGCTATCTCCCGCGTGGTGTGATGTAGATTGTTGCCAATATCTCAATTTGATCGCTATCAACTTTAACTGATCTACCCACCCACAGAGCATTGTCCAGTGCGAAATCTCCAGTGTGAAACTTTGCAAACCACTTTTGACATGTTCAATCAGTCACAGCACCTTCTCTGTACACTGCACAAATCTTTTTGTTTCAGTTGTGTTTTTATCTTTTTTGAAATAAAAAAGCATATCATACTGAAAATGTTGCGTATTTTCTCTCATCTTCAATATTAAAATGGTTCCACAAAAATTCACCAATTTGGTTACGTATTTTTTAAAAATGCACTGATACAATATCCATCACAATACAATCTAACAGAATTGTTTTGAATGAAGTTAAAGACAACTAAGTGCTACTAGAGTCATCGCAGGGAAAAAACTGAAGACCTTTTTGGCCAACCCAATTACAGGGTGCTTTCTGGAACGAGCTCGGGATGGGGAGTCAGGACCTGGCTGCTTCTGATCCCAGCCTTCCTGTGTCCTTGCCAGGAAGCCCTGTAACTATCTGAGGCTTGTCAACTCCAGTTCAGTCCAAACAGGACTGTCCACGAAGGCCCTTCTGTGGAGGCCCCAGGCCAGCTGGAAAGCCCCCTCTGGGAACGGCTTCAGGGCCTCGCTCCCCTCCCCGGCTCCTCCTCTCAGACCCAAGCCTCAGGCCTGCTCAGTAAAGCGTGAAGGAGCCCCCCAGGGAAGCCTGAGGAGCAGGGGCCTTTAAATTATGGAGTAGCTTTCTTAGCCCCTCTCAGAAAGGCCCAAGCACCCAACTAAATAATTCATCACCTCAGGAAGACCCAGTGGTTCCTGACACAGCTAAAGTAGGTCAGTTACCGCCCTGGCCCCGGGTGGGGGTGTGGGGCTCAGAACAGCTTCCCCACCAGCACCAGGGGGGATGCAGGCTGGCCAGGCCTGGCTTGCTTGGCAAGTGCCCAGCCGACCCAGATACGGCATTGAGGTGGGGAGTACAAGACATGAAAGCACCACACCACCCCCTCCTCCACTTGCTGGCATGAACACAGCCAGCACGTCCCCTCCTCCCAGAGCCTCCCTCAAGTGTCCAGATAACCCACCACTCGAAACCCATTTACGCACAGGGCCAGAGCCCTTGGAGCACCTGGGGGTGCTGTGTCCTCTCTTCACATGCAGGTACCCGCTGGGGCAGCAAATGTCGCCCTAGGCCTTGGACAGCTGACAGTCACCAGCAGAACACCATAGACCCATGTCACTCGGTGCAGGCCTGGGGTTCCGGAGAAGGGGTGAGGCAGGGAGTGGAGAGGGACACAGAAATCACACAAGAGTGTAGGTGAGGCGGTGACCAGGGCCAGCCCCAGTGGCAGGGCAGCTCTGGGGCCTCTGCCGCCCTCCCTGGCTAGGCACACCTTCTGCGTCAAGCAGTGAAAACATGGGGGAGGGGGACGGGACAGAAAAGAGAACAGCAGAGTCATCAGGTCAACCTTCCGACCCTCCAGGAGCTGGAAAGGATTGCAGACCATATCACTGAGGCGGAAACTGAGGCCCCGAATCACCAAGGGGAAGAAGCAGGACCAGCAGCAGGTGTTCCGAGGGGGTCCAGGGCGGCCCGGGGTCTTGGCACCACCCTATTCCCCTGACCTCCATGCCATGCCCGTGTGCTCTGGTCCCAGCAAAACCTCCTCTAAGGACTCAGAGCTGCAGCTGGGGGCTCAAAAGGGCCGATGAGCTTAACTGTCTCTGTGCAGGACTGCTGGGTCCTCTCGCCTCTATCACAGCCCCACAAGACACACACCAAAGAGCACCGCACAGAGGAACCCCACCTCCCAGACCACAGCCCTCCCCTACGAGGGGTCCTCAGAACTACACAGGCCACGCAGGGTCAGGCCAGCAGAAGATGGCGCCTGGAGCGAATGAAGGCTCGCTCTGCGGGCTCCCTGTGGGTGCGCAGAACCTCTGGCTCCATCCTTGGGGCTCGGAAAATGAGGTGAATGACTCAGACACAGGGTGGGCTGACATATCCCTGCCCCATCCCGACGACTTACAGCCCTTGGCAGATCGCTTCCCCTTCAAATTTCCTGACACAAAAGAGGGGAGGAGGGAGAGGCTACAAGAGCGCTCAGGCCCTGAGCCACCTCACTTCCTCCCCCGCTGAACTCTCAACATCTGTCCTCGAGTCATGGCCTCCCAACAGCCGTCTGCATCCCGTGGAAGCAAAGGTCAGAGAGCAGTTACTTTGGATGATTTTTTTTTATTTTGCATTTCATCTATCATCCAGTTTCACATTCTCACAGGATCAGCAATTACAACAGCCACCTCGTCTCCCAAGTCTGAAAATGGCAAGACAGCCACAGCTGCGGCCAAAGGCAAAGCACCGACGTGCTCACGAAACAAAAAAATTGCACAATTTTCCCTTCATTTTTCTTAAACTAACGCCTGACACAAAGGCTCATAGCTGGAGAATGGAAATCGTTTTCTTCTTCATGCCTCAAACTAAACATTAAACTTATCTGACAGGGCGAACAAGGTCTCTTCAATAATTAATTGCACACACACATGAAAAATCCTTTATGATGCATAAATATTTTGTTACACAGGGTACAAAAATACTTTCACTTTTTGGTTGGTTTCGAAGTTTGGAAAGAATGAGGAGCAATGGCAGGGTGGGTGCGCTGTGGAAAGGCAAGCAAAATGGGCAGAGACGGGATGTTCTGAACAGCTGCTGGCCCATCTGAGGAGGAAGCGGAGGACCCTGGTCTGAAAGGAAAACACTCCATCTTGGTTGGGTGGTCATTGCTGTTCAGCCTGGAAGCGTGTGGGGTGGCGGGAAGTGCCGGGTGGAACTGGCCGCAGGGCTTGGGCCTCACTGAGGCGGGGTGGGTGCAGGGGAGGGGCGTGGAGAGAGGGACCAGGAACGATGAACCATTAAAGGCCAGGACCTGTTGCTATGGTGACAATGTGAGAACAAACTGTACACTCACATATACACAAGTCTAAGTGTCTTAATTCATGCCAGAAAACATGCAAAATCAAATGCCTCATTTCTCTGAGGTGAAGCTACAGAAGCAAGTCTGGAGCAGAGGTTGGGCCTTGCTCGGTCCCCGTGAGGCCCCCGAGCCGGGTCTGGGTGTCCCAGGGAGGAGGCCCCTGAATCCTCCCGTGAGGCCTTGGAGAAGGGCTCTGGGGCAGGGCAGGGCTGAGGAAGAGGAGAGAAAGGAAACAGGAAGCAGTCCACTGAGTCAGGCTTAAAATTCACAGTCTTTGGAGGGAAGCAGCAGCTCTCCCCAGGCCGCCTGGGGGCAGTGGAAGCTCAGGGCAGCTTCCTCCCCAGCGGGGTGGGGGCTTCAAGCTGTGGTAACTAGACCTGCGGGAGGGGAGAGAGGTGGCCGTGAGCAGAGGTGTGGGACTGGAGCTGAGCCCCGGCCTTCCCTTGGTGAGCAGCCCGATGGCAGGGGGTGGATGAAGGGGGGGAGGAGAAGGCGGTGACGCCGGCCGGAGTGCCCAGTGCACAACCTCAGGGAGCCGCGCATCGGCTGGCTCTCAGACTCAGTGCGGGGGAACCAGGGCCCTGCAGCAGGCCTGGGTCTAGGACGCTTGTCCTGGGCCAACACTTACTGAAGAACTAACAGAACTGACGATATTTCCATCCTTGCTGGGTGGTATCAGAGGAAGGGTACCAGCGCACCTGCAAGAGAAGCCAACGTCAGGAGCTACCTGTGTAGTCTTCCCTCGATAGGGGAGCCCTGTACACATGGCCTTCTGTGTCCCCTTGGAGTCCTGCTTCTGTCCCTGATGGGCCGATGTTGGACCAGTCACTCACCTCCAGGCATCAGTTTCTTCATCCTGAAAATGGGAGAGGGCCACCTGACTGGCCTCCTCCGCAGGGTGAAGGTTCAAATGAGAGCATGGAGACAGTGTTTTGCCCTCCACTAAACCCGAATGGAATGTGCCAGGTTGGACCCGGTGCCTTGGCAGCCAGGGGCACTTGGTGCCACAATCTGCCCTTCACTATTTCCTTTATGGGGAGAGTGCAGAGTCCCCAACAGTAGGAGAAGGAACCCAATATCCTGCTCAACTTCTTTGAGTCTCGAAGTCCTCATCCAGCTACAGGCTAGAGATGATTACGTCACGGGCAGGCACAAGGATCAGCATGACAGAATGCAAAAACACGTTATAAAGCAAACTCAGTGTGGTCTCCAAAGGGCCGGACTCCAGACGTGGGTCCTGTCCTTGTACAAGTCTGTAAATAGGCCAAAGACGAGACCCTGATGCTGTGTCTTCCCAGTTTCCACTCCGCTATCCCTATTTTCCCTCCATTTTAACCTTCCGAAGTCTAGAGATTTATAAGCTACCAGCTGAGCCCTCGAGTAGGGGGTCTGTCGGCTACAGAATACCAGCTCTTTCCAGAAGGTCCCACAGAACAGGAGCCCCAAAGCAGGATTCCCAGAAACTGGTCCGGAAACGACAAGCACCCACTTACACATGGACCAGCCTTCTGGGAGTTAAGCTGTGCTGGGGGCCAAGCCAAGACTGCAAGGAAGGCCACCTGTCCTGGCTACAGGCAGCACATCTGCCGCAGACCGACCCACAGCTGCCTGGGTGGGGGCGGGGCAGAGCATCACGGGACCCTGGGTGAGGGGAAGGTCGCCCAGAGACGGGAGCCGAGGGACCTTAGGAAAGGAAGGGACGGCACACGAGAGCCAATGCAGAAACAAGTAGCAGCGGGGCACACAGACAAGTCCCTTGAAGGGGACGCCGTCAGACCCCGTTACCCACTTGGCCACCTCAGATCCCTGCCTTCTGGGGAAGCAGAAGTGATTATTGAGTAATGACGCCACTTGGGGGCTGAAGGAAGCTTCCTGAGAACTTGCTCCTGTGCCCCCTCCAAATGCTAGCTGCTGTTTTTGCACAGCGCAGAACTCTGTCCACCACACGCTCAGCGGAAGTCAGGGGATGTTCACCTTAAGAAGCCAGGACACTTAGAATCTAACATACCAGAGCAAAGTCTCAGGTCACCTGACCAATGCCAGGGTCTTCTCTGGGCTCCAAGCACATGGCACTGCTGCCACCAAGATACAGTTGGCCCCTGGCTGCTAGAACTATCTTGATTAAGCCCCACACCACACAGAAAGGGTCAAGAGCCTCTTTTAGCCTTTAAGCTGATCTTCTTTCCTGCCTCCTAAACATCTGGAGGGGGTTCCCATCCTTCCTAGCTGACAGCTGGGTGGGAAGAGGCCTCCCCTCCCCTTTGCTGGGCCATTGGTGCCCTCTTAGCTGGAAGCTCAGCTGGATGCTAGAAGCTGAAGGACAAGGAAACCAGCACCACTGCTACAGATAAGCCTGAGGTCCAGCTCCGGGAATGCCCTGGCGGCGGGGGGGGCGCGGTTCAACCACCGCACTCCACCCAGCCTCCGGCTGGAGTGGCCCCTAGCAAGAAATGCCTGCCGAGCTGGGTGCCCTGCAGGGCTACAGGAGGAGGAGACCACGAGGCTGGATGAGAGTGGGAAGGACAATGGAGGCCTCCCACTCGCTTTCTTCCCCGCTGGGGAAGCCAAGGCCTCCAGCAGCTGCTGAAGGGGTCCCTCAGAGAGCCGCACCCTTTCCACAAGCACTGGACTCCTGCCCCCTAAGCAGCAGCTTCCCCACAGCCTGAGATGAATCGGCTGCCTTCTCGGGGAGGAAGCAGAGGAAAGATCCCATTTCTGAGCTCAAAGCAGCCGCTGCCCTGCATTGGGGCTGCATTTCTGCTTCCCTCAGACACTTAGTTTAGGCCGGTGGTCCGGGTCCTCTCAGAGGTCCATTCCTGTCCAAGCTCAGAATGACAGACCTTCCAGGCCTGCTGGTTATCCACACAAGGCATTTGGGGTTCTGAGAGGTCCTCCCTCAGGGATGAGCCCCAGGGTAACTAGAATGAACCAGGCTCCGAGAGGACCATCATCTAAACAGAAGTGGGCACGACCTCAGTCCTTGCTCACCTCTTGGGACTGAGAAGATATGCCAGGAAGTCAAGTGGGCAAAGGAATGAATTCACATGAGAAGAAATATAAACAGCCTATAAACGCAGGAAACTCGCTCATCAGAAAGTCCATTAAAGTAATACCCATTCTTACTTAACCCAGTAACCAAGTCTGCACTTTGACCTTATGAACAGTTCTAGGAATCCACGATAAGGAAAACAAGCGGGTCAGGTGCCCAGAGAGGTGTGAGCAAGGGCGTCCGCTGCTGTACGGTCCGTCAGTGGCGAAAAATGGTGTAAACAACCTACTTACCCTCTACAGGCAACTGGACACACACAGTGGTGGGCTGGCCAGGCATCTAAAGCGTACATCTACATTTACTGGTGTGGAATAGTGTCCTGACATTTAAGTTTTAAAATGATTAAGTGTGTATTCCTATATATAGATTTTGTAAATTCCTATATATAGATTTATTTACACACCTGTATCAAGTACCTACCAAGTCTAAGGACTACAAGTAGCAACTTTCTGGGGAGCAGCATGATAAACCAAAGGGTAAAAAGAAAAAACACCAACAACCCTGCCTATTCTTTTTTCCCCATAAATGCAGACCTCTGATAGCTAATGCTTATGAAATACTTAACATATACCAAGTGCTATTTTAAGTAGTTTTCATGTATTAAGTTCCTTTAATCCTTATAAACCCCTATGAAGTCGATGCTATTACCATTCCATTATACAGATAAGAAAGCAGAGGTGAGGGAGCTCATGGAACTTTAAGGTCATCAGTAAGTGGCTGAGCCAGTTCAAGGATGGAGGTGCGGCGGGAACAGGGAGCCACAGTGAGAGACCTCAGATGAAATGGAAGACAAAGTCCAGTCTGGGAGGACCCTGGAACACACGGGGGCATGGAGAACCCCTGCTTTTAAGCTACTATCTATATGTGTCAGATGCCAGTGTGCCTCTGCCATCCAGACCTCTTGCATGTCTCACCCTCTTAAAGGAGAAGATTCTATCAAGAGGACCAGAAGGTTGTGCAAGATGGCCTTGTGCCAAGACAGAGTGGGATGAACCATCTCCCCGGCCCTTCCTGCAGGTCCGGGCCCTTGTGGTTCAGGCTGAGCTACTGGCAAAGGGCATGCAGGCAGGGGAAGCCCATGTGGCTAGGGAAAGGAAGGACTGCTTTTCATTCCCTCTTGTCTCTTAGCTGTCTCCTTGTCCCCAGGCACAGAAAAACTCAGTTTTGTTGCTCCTCCAGGTTCAGAACAATCCCCTTAGGACGAACACTGCCCAATTCCTTTATTTAAGGATTTTCAGCCCCTACTTCTGGGGAAGCACTATGAAAGAGGCAGGAAGGGGCTCTCAAAAGGAAAAGAAAAAATGCTACTACTCGGAAAATGCTTTTATGCCTATTACTGCATTCAGTCCTAACAGCATGTTTTACTGTTAAGGACATGGCTTTCCAGACAGCAAGGAGCAAGGACAGAATTAATTACTACCTGGACCGATGTCTTGTCACAAGTCTCCCTCTCCAAAAATGCCACTACCCTTTGAGGTGGCCTCCATCCCCTTCTCTGGGAGACCAGAAGACAGGAATTCAGGCACGATGAGGCCTCCAGCCTCAGAGGGGTCCACGGGAGGACACTAGACAATGAGATTAAGTAATAGCCATGCTATTCCCTCTGAAAAAGCCTGTAAGGTAGGTTTAACTATCACCATTCCACAAGGAAATTGGACACAGGGAGGTTAAGTAACTTGCCCAAGGTCACACGGCTGTTGAAAGAGAGCCAGGATTTGGACTGAGGCCGCTGGGCTTGACTTGGCCAATCGCAAGGTGAGGGGAGCGTGAGAGAAGGCTGGAACGGAAGACAGCAGGAGGGCACGGAGCCCTCAGGGGCAGGCAGCAGCCCCCCACTCCCAACCAGCCAGGGGGCCACCCTGAGAGGGGCAGAGGTGCCTCTCCTTATTAATTTGACACACGAACTGTCTGGCTCCCAACCTCTGCCGCGTCAGTATCACAGTCTAGCATCCCAGAGCAGATGAGGCAGAACCTTTCACCTGATCTGGTCTAACCCTCTCATTTTACAGAGGAGGACACAGAGGCCCAGAGGTGAAGCCACTTACCAAAGATCAGGTAGCTAACTGGTGGCAAAGCTGGGATGAGAGGCGAGGACCCCAGCAGTTAAACTCCCCGCGTGGCTGGGAGCCGTCAGAGATGACAGGGACAGCGCTCCCGGTTACCTGCTCTATGCCCACCACAGAACCCGGTTTGTGGTAAATACCAAACATTTCCCTCTAGGGGAACATCTTTACCACTTTCCTACCTTGATCAGTTTCCCAGCTGTCTGTGCTGTGCAGCTGGGAAACAGAGCCCAGTTTAACATCTTTTGCCCTTGGCTCAATCTAAAGTGGCCATGGCCGGAGGAACTGCCCTGCCAGGGGAAATGGTGTACTAGGAGAGCAGCCCCGAATCCCAACCTTCCACCCTGGAACTGGGCAACCCAGCCGTCACTAAGGCCTCCAGAGGATGGAGATAGAGAGGAACTTAGCCCTTGGCCAGAGCAGCTGACTCCTCCCACCGCAGCTTCCAGTCCTGTGATCTCTTCCTTCCTGGCTTCTCATTTCCTTTTCCTCTTCATCCCCTTCGACTACCCTGGCCGAGCCCAAGCAGCCTCTGTGTTCTCCCGACCCCCCTGCCCCCAGCACCGGACGCCCTGGCCAGGTCACTCCTGCCCACCGATCAGAGGCCGAGGTGGGCTCACCACTGCCCCTCTGCTCCCTATGCTACCTGGCAGTGCCCTGGCCATACAGCTGGCATTCCTGTCCGTGCCTCGCTGGAACGGGCCGGTATCCGCCCACCTGCTTGTCTGCCTCGCCAGCACCTGGCACGGCACCCAATGAGCAGAGAGCCCCCCTGGCCCAGCTCCCCATCCCTGACTCTCCCCTGGAAGTACGTGCACCCTCCTTCTGGCCCGTGCACAGGCAAGAGCGTCCAGGCTCCATGAGAACAGGAACACTCACTGAGCACCCAGGATGCTTGTCCCAAGTACAACAGTCCCAGCACCTCTCACGTATTAGCATTTAAATCTCACAACCCTGAGGCAGATGTTATTATTCTCTTTTCCCACGTGACTAAAAAAAATCAAGGCGCTGAAATCTTTAAGAGTTTCCTCAAGTTCACAAAGACAGAAGGAGGCAGAAATAGGCCACCGGGCTCTGGAAACCACACTCAGCTTGGGAGGTGAGTCGTGGTTCTGTCGCCACAAGGCAGCACACAGCACGGTGCCGCGGGCGTTCAGGGGGTGGTGGAACCACGGCTGGGTCTCTCTCAGGACCTGACTTGAATCCTCGCTGCGGCCTCACGGCTTATACCCTCCTTCCTCTCTGTCAGAGCCCAAGTCCTCAAGGCACTGGCACGGAAGGCAGCAGTTCTGCTGCAGCTCTGGAGGCATGTGCGGTCTTGAGGCCGGGGGGGTACAAAGTCTGGGCCACTTAGAGCCTTCATCCTCCCCCTTCCTGCTTTTCCCCAAGAGGGAAGCTTACCTGAGCATGCAGGGCGGCGGCGGCGGCGGCAGTGGCAGCTGGGTAGGTGAATGCAGCATGTGAGATGGCTGGGGTCAGCTCTGTGGTGTACAGAGGGTAGGGGGCCCAGGCCTCTGGGGACGTGGGGATCAGAGCAGTCCCCATCAGGTCATCTACAAAGGGAGACAACAGTCCCCATGGTCAGAACACTGGTCTTCCCTCCTGCCACTCCACTGCAAACAGAGAAGGGGACCCAGGACTATGGTCGAGGCATAAGGTCCCCACTCAGGCCAGACTCTCCCTGAGACCAGAGAAAGAAGCTGTGTTAGCTTGGCCTGGCATGGTGAGCATCCTGTCTGCTTTGGGAAGCTCAGCTGGGCTGCTGTCCATCTTAACCAAGAGAAATCAGAGAAGGCTTCAGGGAAGTTGGGCAAGGCTGATGGCTCAGGGGCTCAGTCTGTCTTGAGGTCCAGCAAAGGCTGCAGGGCAGGACGAAGTGTGGGACCCATAGAGACAGGTGGCTGTAGATGCAAAGAGCCTCCTCACAAGGCGGGTGTGCATGCAGACTGATTCCCTCAATTGAGAATCTCCATGTCTGCCCCCTGTATTAAACACCACTGGGGCCCCCAGCTCAGGCCTAGTGCAAGGGCAGCAGACTGCGGCTCTCTGAGTGCCACTCACAGGGGTCCCGGGCGATGAAGTGTGCTCCTAGGGCAGGGTGAGCGCTGGTGGGGTTTGGTGTAGCCATTAGCTTGTTCTTGGCCATCTTGGTGTTGGCTTTGGCAAACTCTAGCCTCAGGGTCTGTGGGTTCTCTGGATCAAAGCGAATACCCTATATCAGAAGGAAAAAAGGGGAAAGACTTTACTTTCTAGAACTCAGACCGTCCACCGCAGTGGGCACAGGAGGACCCCAGAAATGAGCTTGCCTGCAAGACTTGTCCACATGGGGCCAAGACAGCACAGTCAAGGACCCTGCCCCAAGGCAGCTGGGAAATAAGGTACATCTCTCAGGCCTCTCCTTGGGTATGGAGTGGGGGAGGGTTTGCAGGAGACAGAACAAGGACACCTGTTGCCTGGGGACGGGATCTATGGGTCAGACGAAGACCTGTTCTTCATCTACTCACATTCAATGCATTCTTGGCTGCTTCTGCTCCTGCCCGGCTGTCAAAGATCACAAAACCGACAGGCTAGAAGGAAAAAGAGAACATCCTTGCATCTCTCCCAATGTTCCATCTTCCCCTCCAAAAACAAACAAAAAACCCCCAAAATAACACAAAGCCACTCTTGCCCATTTCCTTCCTATGCTCGGCCGGATGGAAGATTCCCGGGCACCAGCAGTCTCCCTCCAGGTACCATGCTGCGGGAAATTACGCCAGTGGGGCTTCACCCACTGTGCTGAGCAATGCCCTCTCAGTAAAAGACTTTTTTCTTTTTAATGCATGCAGGTAATTAAGAGTAAGTTCCATGTTTTCTCCAGGAAGTAAGGGGGCTCCAATATATCGAGTGCATGGGGAGGTTCCAGATTCAATTAAGGGCGAACAGGTTGACATTTCTCCAACTTCGTTTTGTCACAGTTCGGTCCAGACCCCAAATGGCCCCCAGTCACCCCTTCTGTGGTCCTCAGTCTTGGAGCCAGGCTGTGGCTTCTCAAGAGTCAAGAGAGGGAGGACCAGGAGCCAACTGGTAAGAAGGAACCTGGGCCACTTTCATCAGCGCAGGACAGAAAAAGAACACAGGGAGCAGGTCTGAGCTGCCAAAAATGCCTCAAGACTGAAGAAAAGGCAACAGACTTAGTTCCAAGCTTGGCAGTTGGGCTGGACTAAGAAGAAGAAAAACCTTGTAGAGAAATTACCTGTCGCGATGTGAGCTTGATCAGGGACCCTTCGTACCCCTGCAGAGAGAGGTAGGCGTTAACCAGGAAGGTTATGCTGTGCTGTCCCAGCCACCCCTGACATCACCCCATCTTTCTTTCCTACTCACATTCTTCTCCCCCCAAAGTCGACCCACTCTGCCCTCCACGCTGCATCCTGAATCACATGGAGTAGCGCATGGCGGGCATTATGCCACAGCAGCCATCATTTCATGTGTAAATTCCTCTTTGCTCCACTAACTTGCAATCCAGACACACAGAGTTTACCTTTTTATATTTTCTCATCTGCAAATTGAAAAGGCTACACCGAATCTCAAAGATTACTTATACAGCAAAATCCACGGAGATTCTCCATGTCTCCACTTTATAGATACGGAAACAGAGGCTGGGAGGAGGTAAGCAATCAACAGAAAGTAACGTACGAATTAACAGCACCAGGACAGAGTCAGTCTGTGATCCCAGTTTTTGATACACTGCCCTACGTCTTCCAGCTGCCCAATCCAGGTCAGAGATTCATTCCTGATGCTTCACCTCCATCCTAGGCTCTGCCTGTGGGTGGCTGGGCCCGGACTCACCTTGAACGGCCTGAAAAGCAGGTAGAGTTCTCTGGGTTTAATGTCCACAGGGAGGCCACTGACGAACAGTGTCCGGACCTGGGGACAGAGACCACAGTGGTCAGGGCCAGACTGACAGAAGGACAGGGATGACAGCCCTCCCGCCAGGAAGAAACTGGATCCTTCCAGAGTTAAGGGAGGAATTCGCTATTTCCTGGGCCTCCTTGAGAGGCTGAGACAAATGAACACTCAGTTTTTTAGCATTTAACTTTTCAAAGTCCTTTCCGTGTGCCTTCCTTCCTCTTGGCTCATCATGCAGGTATCGCTGAGCAAGCACCTGCTCAGCACCACTGCCATTGCCCTGGCTGGTGTGGCTCAGTGGATTGAGTGCCGGCCTGAGAACTGAAAGGTCACTGGTTCGATTCCTCATCAGGGCACATACCTGCGTTGCGGCCAGGTCCCTAGTTGGGGGTGTACGAGAGACAACCGATTGATATATCTCCCATACATTGATATTTCTCTCCCTTCCCCTCTCTAAAAACAAATGAATAAAAAAATAAAATCTTTCAAAAGAAAAAGAAAGACTGTCCACTGTTGAACAGAGCACGCGCGTGCGAGAGAGAGACCTATTTAATAAGTGCACAGGTCAGGGACCCCTCTGATACCCAAGGCAAACTATGGTGTCTTACCACCCTCCCTCCATGAAATGCACAAGGTAAAATGTATATATTTTTCAGCAGATACCCATGGACCCCAGGTTGAGCGGCTCTGTCTGGTCCAAGGAAGAGGCAAAGACATAAGTGGAACACAGATCCTACACCACTCCCTGGAGCGATTCAACAAAGGGCCCACCACCTTCACACCACTGCCTGCTGCTTCTGATTTAAGCTCTTCAATGGCAGGGAATGTGTTCTATTCTTGCCTCCATGCCCAGCTCCTAGTATGGTGCTGGTACTAAGTGTTCCAGAATAAGAGACCTGGCTAAGGAGTCAGAGGTGGAACAATTATGCTGGGTTTTGAAGAATGAGTAGGATCTTGCCAGCTTCAAGTGAGGCAGATGATGCCGTAAGCCATGAGCCTTGCCCTCAACATGGTCACAAGTTGGCGGTGAAGCCAGGTCTAGACACCAGATGTCCATCCTGTGACTCCAGCCAAACCTGACTTCCTGAACTGCACAACAGCCTGTGGGACCCAGACAACAGCCTTTTTTAGAGACAATGGCTTGAATCAGGAACCTGGGGCAGCCAGGCAAAGTTACACCCAAGAAGCACACATACACATGCATCTCGACATCAGAGCCAGGAATGGCTAAGGAAACCAGCCGCTGGTAACCAGTGTCACGGCCCCCACCCCAACAAGAATGACTGCCAGCCTTTGCCTGATAAAAAAATTAAAAAAGGGTAAGAACAAGCTTCTTTACTCACATGCAGTTTTGCCAGGAAGCATACCCTTGCCATTTAGGGCACATCATTCCCCTTTAATCATGCCTTTCCCTTACCAGCCATGTCTCAGCTCCCAGGCCCTGGTGATGGTCCTGTGCACTTCACAGCCCTGCTCCCAGAAGCACCTGGGAGAAACTGGACAGCCAAGGCTCCAGGGTGGGCTCAGTCGGGCCCCTGGACTCCAGAGGGCAACCACCCCCGACACCCTCTGCCGTTTGATGGAAGGTCCTTTAATTTCCATGTGATTCCCTACATGGACGTGGCTTGCTTGGGTCACATAGCTTTTCTTTAAAGGCAGCAGACCTGGCACTCATCTGGACTGGCAGAAACGATACTTGCTTCTGGGTGCCAGGACTCAGGCACCCAGCCCACCCTCAGAGGATGGGCTGAAAGGGTGCAAGCCGGCCAGGGCCGCACTGGGTGGACCTGGACCACTACCCCTCCCTCCTCCCTGCGATGGTGGCACGTGGTAGATGCAGAGCCAGAGCTGCCCCATAGAAGCTTCTGCCCCCAGTTCTTCCCAGGGGCCACCCTTTCACCCTGGCTAATTTTAAACCCTTCCTCAAATGGCTCCCTTTCTAGCCAGACCTCCCTAGAGGCCCCCTTAAATAGCCAGTTCTCAGCACAAAGTTTCCTGTTTGGGTGGGGGAGGGGGGAGTATAGGGGATCTTTCCCTCACTCCCAGCTCAGATCCTTGTTTCCAGCCTTCCCTCTGGACCAGATGTTCCTAGCCTCTTCTTCTGGTTTCTATCTTTCAAGTTCTGAAGTGCTCAAAAGGCTACAACATCGTTCCCGTCCTGTCCCTGTCCACCTCTCAGGAAACAAACTGAGGCCAAAGCAGTTATGGATTAGGTGGTGGTTCCCTGTCCACCAGGTCACAGACCCTTTGCTGGGATCAAAGTCTGGGAGATTAAGTCACAGGAAACTTGGCCTGACTATTCTCTCTGGTTCTTACTTGAACCTAGCAACCCTGGCAGATGACAACCGAGCCTCTGTGCAGGCAGGGAAACTGAGGCCCAAAAAGGGCTCATGCAGCTTAGTTCACCAAGGAGCAGGGCTGGGTAGGACCCAGGCACCCTGACTCAGTCACATGCTCCACCAGCAATCCACCCAGCTGTGGACACAGACTGAATGGCACTTGGGTGGCCTTGTTAGCCTCGTGTGTGGGTAAAGTGCTGCCACCAGCCATTCAGCAGCCAGTCCCTTCCTTAGGCACTTGTTTAGGATGACAGCAAAGCTGGAGGGATGGGGGCAGAACAAGAAGAAACCATCAAACCAGGGTAGAGGGAAGCAGGAGCGCAGCAGGCTGCTCAGCTACACGCTGAAAGGACAGGAGGTTCTAGAGCCTACCCACCTACCTTTGTGCTTCCAGCTCCCTTTGGTCCCATGTGGCCCTGTCTCCTCTGGGTCCCCAAGAAGCTCCAGAGGCACCAAACGCAGCTGAAGTCCTACAGGGCTCTTTGGATCCCTCACATCGTTTCTACCCATCTGAGCTTATCCCTCACCTAAACTCTATAAAATCCCAAGAGAAGGGAGCTGAGTATCAAAAACTTTCATAATCCCTAGAGCAGCTAGCACCAGGCTTCAGCATTTGGACATCCAATGTCTCTGTGCACCTTAGTCCTCCCAAAGAAACTCCCAGCCCAAGGCAGACATGGCTCAGCGCGGCAGACAGTAATGCCATAAATGGGAAAGACAACCGGCTTTAGTTAGGCCACAGTGTGCACCCCAGCTTTAGGCGTGGCATGGTGGAAGATGCCTCATGTCTTGGAATCTGTTTTTATCTGCACAACATGGATACCACCTACCTCCAGGATGGCCCCTTACTCCATCCATACCTGGCACATAGGAGGTTCAACAAAATGTGCATACACTTAGGGCTCCTATAATCACAGCAGTTACCTGCATGAAAACCTCACCTATCAGGTACCATGAGCCATTCACTATACATGCCTAGCGAGGCCAGGCCGGTTCTGGGTCAGTCTGGGGCTGGTAATTTGGGTGAGATGATCTTAGCTGGTCATTGGATTCTTTTTTCCTCTCCCAGGGAAGTAATATCTGAGGGAAAGGCACCTCATTTTACAGATGAGAAAACTGAGGCTCAGAACAGGAAGGTGACAAAGCAAACTGATAGCACAGTTAGGACCTCTGCAGGGACAGGGACATGCAGTTACTCCTCCAAGGCCTGGCCAGCTAGTTCTGTGTCTCAGGCCAGCATTGGAGACCACCTCCTCATGCCACTTGCTGGTGCCAGTCTCCTGGCAATAGGGCCCAACGCTCATTAAAGAGGTGGGTGCAGACTCCGACAGCTGGTTGACGCCAAGATGGAAATATCGACCAAAGAACCCACGTCCTGCCTATTCCACAAATTTATTCTAAGAACTCACCACAAAAATGTTTTCAGTATCTGAAGGGAGCACAAGGGGTAGTTAGTTCCCACAATCCCAGGCTGCTAGCAGTCACCAAGCTCGTTTACCTGGCCTTTCTCCTTCCATACACTCATCCTTTCTCCAGAAGTAGCCACACAACCCAAGGGATTATTTTCTTTCCCGTCCTGAAACGTGGAAAACCACAAGGACCACCTTCAACAGCAAGTATGAGCAGATGGTGCTAGACCACAGCCATGCCCTTTGTACAATTGGAAGATAGTCTGGAATGGGGTGGAGTGGATATTGGGGGAGAAATGGAGAGTGGATGGAGGGAGAATTCAGAGAAGTCAACAGAAGAAACATGGTGAGAAATAGCTCTTTCTGATGGAATCTACTGGAGCACCAAATTCAGTACAACAAAGAACTTGGCCCAGAGAGGTGCCCCACCACACAAGACATCACAGTCGTGGCTGTGTGGCCTTCATGGCGCGAGAACAGACTCAGCCCTGCCTGCGGGAACCAGCTGGCCTTTTGGCACAACTGAGTCCCCCGAACATCAAGGCTCTGGGGGCTCCTGAGGCAGCTCTTTCCTTAGGCGCGAGTCCTGCTGCCAGTCTTCCTCTGGGAGCAAGGGGGTGGCAGGAGGCCCGGCCCCTTCTGCAAAGCCCACAGGCCGTCACTGGCTGGCAGACTTCCTGGGGTTCTCTAGGTCTTTGCTGCGTGCTCCCGGGCTCCTTCCCTTGCAGCCAGTGCTGGACCTAAAGTGCCTAAGCGTTCCCAGCCACCTCTTGGCCACTTCTCACCTCGTCCACTGGGGCCCCTGAATCTCACTCCCAGGGCTCCAGGGGAGGGGCCAAGAAGGGCAGTACCTGAAAGGCACAGGAAGGGGCAGTCCGCACCCTCCTCCCGTAAGAAAGGTTTAAGAGGAGCCTCTCAACCATACTTTCTAATCCCAACGAGAGAAAAGGAAAAGACGAGAGGACGCCGGCTCCCGAGGCTGTCCAGTCCTTTCCTTTGTGATAGCAAGGGGAGCTGCAGGCCATCGTGCGGGTCTTCCTCTCCTCTCTGCAGCCCTCCCGGCCCAGAGGTAAGAGCTCACCTTTTACAGGGTAAAGGGAAGTAGGAAGAAGGGGCTCTGGCAAGCTTACTCATCTCTCTGTTCGTGATGTTCTACCAGACAAACTGCAATCTGTGTAAAGACCTTCAGAAAAAAACAAACTCAAACAAAAGTCTTCAGGAACAAGGTGACAGGGACACCCAAGGCACCATCAGCCTCATTGCATAAATT